CTTGCCTTTGACAATGAACAGAGAGAAGTAAAACCTGGTTTTTTTTGCCCCAGATTGATGTTGTTTGTGTTTTAGGTTTGACTTTAAATATTTACGAGGGTCAAATCACTGCCTTGCTCGGCCACAGTGGAGCTGGAAAGACAACCCTGTTAAATGTGCTCAGCGGGCTGACTTTGCCTTCTGAAGGTAGGCTGGGACTGGTAAGCTGAAATGAGTGAGCTTCAAAGCTGCAAAGCCCAGCTTGTTCCCTGTTATCACATGCGTTTGTATAAACAGGCTCTGCAACCATCTATGACTACAAGCTGTCAGAGATAGGAGACAGGGAAGAGATCAGAGAGATGGTCGGTGTCTGCCCACAGTTCAATGCGCAGTTCGAAGTCCTAACGGTGAAAGAAAATTTGCAAACCTTTGCAGAGATCAAGGGCATCAAATCCAAAGAGGTAGAGCGAGAGGTAAGTGCAAGTTCCTCTGTAATGTGAGCCTGTGGCCTTGGTGCACCCAAAGCAAGCTAACCTTGGTTCACCCGAAGCAACCCAGCATACCCTTAGAAATCACTTATTTGGTGCCAGCCACACCTCTTTTGTGGTTCACAAAGGACAGACAGATGCTTCTGGGAATGGGCTTTCTTGTGTTTATTTTAGGTGCAGAACATGTTGGAACTGCTGGATATCAGTAGCGTGCAAGACACTCAAGCTGAGAAATTGAGTGGTGGGCAAAAAAGGAAGTTATCCATTGGGATAGCCATGCTTGGAAACCCGCAGGTAAAGCAGCTCTGTAATATACAGAATATTCAGTAATTTTAAGGTGGCCAGTGTTATTCCAGAAAGATGGTAAATTCTTTACCTTAATTTTGCACATCTAGTTTAAAGCCGAGTCCCCTGAGCAGTGCCCAGAGCGGTTGCTCCTGCACTCCAGATGGCCTGGCTCTTGTCTCCAGGACCTGAGGCTCTCAGGGAACACCAACCCCACAAGCCGTGCAACCATTCCTTCATTGGGAATGTCTGATCTCATCCCGTGTGCAGGTGCTGCTCCTGGATGAGCCAACGGCGGGCCTGGATCCTCTTTCCCGACACCAGGTGTGGAGCCTCCTCAAGGAGCACAGAGATGGCCGGGTGATCCTCTTCAGTACCCAGTTCATGGATGAGGCCGACATCCTCGCGGGTAAGCAGAGGCTCAGCATCCCTGCAGAGCATCCCTGCATCTGGAAGTCCTTTTCTGGGCCAATCAACCTGGGATGAAAATTTGGATCGTGGGATCTACCCTCAGAAAAATACAAAATACCACTGAACTGCCCGTGGGAGGTCCATATGTAGGGAAAAAAAGATGAAATCACTGCTCTACAGTTTAAAATCTTCTTGTGCTTTTTTTTTTCTCTGTAGACCGCAAGGCTTTTATCTCATGTGGGAGGCTGAAGTGTGTTGGCTCCTCTTTGTTCTTGAAAAAGAAGTGGGGGATCGGCTATCACTTAAGGTATGCACTTCAGCTGTACCGACCAGGGTCTGGGAATAGGCATGAATCCACTAAGATGACTTAAAAAGGAAATTCAAAACTGCACAATGAGCTGAATTCACATTCAGTTGAACTAGCTGAAGGTGTAATTTACTCCAGAGTAAGGAATGAAGTACAATTTGATGCATCCTAGCAAATACAGTCTTGCTTCCATTTCATTTGCTGTTTGTTTAGTTTTCAATACTGACCATTTGCTTTTTCCTTTCAATTGAACAGGATCCATGTCAGTGATTCTTGTGATGTAGAGAAGGTGACATCTCTGGTTAAGCAGTACATCCCCAGTGTCATGCTCTTGGGACACGGTCAATACGAGCTGAGATATAAACTGCCATTAGAAAACGTGAATAAATTCCCAGGTAATGGTTATGAAAATAATTCAGAATTGTCCATAGAAAAGGGAAACTGAAATATACATGAGGAAAGAGAAATGAGGAACTTCTGCAAGGATCTCATGAAGACTATTAAATCGTTGCATGCAATGGCCACTACCCCATACTTGCTGCAGCAGTTGTGGCCATCAGTCTGGCAGTCCCATAGCCCTGCTGCCTGAAATGTTGATGCTAAACAGAAAAACCTGCCCATGGCAGGAGGTTGGAACTAGGTGATCTTCAAGGTCCCTCCCAACCCAACCCATTCTTTGATTCTGTGATTCATTCTATGAAATTTTCACTGAACTGTGAATCTGGCAGTTTGGGGTTCCCTCCAAACACCCTGCTTGCTGGCAGTTATTGCTTTGCTATTTTCCCTATGACTGGAGATACCCCACTCTGTTTGACTTCACCTCTCCAAAGTCTGGTCTGTAGTCATGCTTGTGTTTGGCACCTTGGTGGCACTGCCCATACCTCTGTCACACAGATCTGTTCAGAGGCCTCGACAGCTGCTCTCACCTGGGACTCATCAATTATGGAGTTAGTATGACAACCCTGGAGGATGTCTTCCTGAGACTGGAAGAAGCTGCAGTGGACCAAGAAGGTACAATTGTGGCTGCCAACACACAGCCCTCAGTCAAGACAGCAGCTGCTTTACAACCACCCCAACATCGCTGTATAGAAGCTGGTTTCAGACATAACAGCATGTGGAAAACTCTCTGCAGATAAGTGTGTCCCTGGGGAGCGGGCAGAAGGAGGAGCACGGAGCCCAGAGGAGATGGAGTCAGGCTCCCTGCTGCTCTCAGACACTGAGAGGATGACAGTCAGCTGCTGGGCACTCTGGAGGCAGCAGGTCTCTGCCGTGGCATGGGTGCGCTTGCTAAAGTTCAAGAGCTCGGTGAAGAACCTCCTCTCCATGTGAGTATAAAAGGGATGCCCTTGTGTAGACCTGGAGCTGGGGGCAGTCACAGGAGGGGGATGATCTTCATAGCCCTGTTCACATGAGCATTTGGAGTAACTGATATCAGGTCTTGGCTATGAATGATCTTGACAATCTGCACTCAGGGAAGAGAAAAGCAGCTTGTTTTCCATTGCTGGTAAATATTAAATCTGCCACAAACACAAATGCCTCTCCTCCCTTCCTCCCTTCCTCCCTTCCTCCCTTCCTCCCTTCCTCCCTTCCTCCCTTCCTCCCTTCCTCCCTTCCTCCCTTCCTCCCTTCCTCCCTTCCTCCCTTCCTCCCTTCCTCCCTTCCTCCCTTCCCCTTCTTTACAATTTTGATATTCGATACCTTCTGTGCATTTTCATTCCTACACTGAGTAAATTACACAAAGGAAATCCATTTACTTTCTGAATGTTTAGGAACAATTTTATTTCAGGTGTGGAAAGCAGTTTTAAAATGAACTAATACGTACAGGCCAAGGAAGGAAAATATTGCTTTCAGACTTCCATTTAAATTATTACTTTTTTTTAGTACTTCTTTAATGCTGTCGGTGTCTGAACTCATTTAACCCCACTGGTCTTTGGTCTGCCATGCTGACATTTCCAGATGGGACACAAGAAATGGAAGGGACGTGCTGAGATAGTCTATCGTTCCCAATCCGTAATCCCAATCTGCAAAATACCTCTCTTCAAAGTGTTTATTCATCTCTCTCTCCATGCAGTTTGTTGCTCTATGTGGTTTTCCTGCTCCCCCTGATGTTGCAAGTGTCACTGACAACTGTCTGGGAGAGCATGAGTGCCTGGGAGCTGTGCTCATCACGGTACTTCCTGCCCCTGCGGACCAGGGCTCACGCTGACACCACCAACCTGCTGGTGCTCAACAGCACGGGTGAGCTGGGCTCCTCATGACTTAATGGGCTGAAAATGAAGCCTGATGATGCTTCAGTAGATGACATACTAAAGCAGTGACATGGAAAGAGACCAGCAGGGGGATGAGAGGGGATCCCGTTCTTCCCCTGCCTCAAGACCTGACCTCCACCCAAATGGTTTCTGCTCTTTCAGAATTAATCCTGCTCATTTTAACAGTCTCCTTCCAGAAATCTATCTTCGACATTCCCTTTAGCAGATGCTACTTCATGTTATTTTGCCAGAGACTGATACTGTTGGCTTTGTCAGACCATCATCAGGAGAAGACATTTGCAACTCAGTGAAGGAATAAAAGGGGGGAAAAAAAGCAATGTTTCAGTCACTGAAGCCGTCATCCATTAATATTACTAAAATTACTGTGCAGTGATCCAATCCATACGTGCTGTCTGGCTTTCACAGTCATTAGACTTTCTCTGGTTACGTTTAGTGGTCGTGGATTCAAAAAAATAAACAGTCAAAGACTCTTTTGTTTCTCACTATTACGATTTCTCTGCTTTTGGCTTTGGCACCAGGCTCCGGCATTGAGGACTTCATCCACGCCCTTGAGAGCCAAGATCTCGCCGTGGAAATTACAAACAAGGAAAATATCACAGAGGAGCTGAAATACAATGGGGCCATTAAAGTATCTCGTGAAGGCCAGGTGAGGACTTCTGCTCCCATCCTAACATTTCTTCCTAACAGTGCACTAATTAAACAAGATCCATCCAGCTATACTGAACCTTTATTGCATCAAGCCCACAGGGATAAAGATTAGTGAGTGTTTTAACCAGTAACCTACATGCTAGAGGAGACCTTATGATTCTGTTCCTCCACTTGGATGACCTTTGAGGTCCCTCCCAGCTCAAGCCATTTGACAATTCCATGTGTGTAGCACAGTTATACAGATTTTCTACATGCTGTTTGCACAAAAGGCATAAGCGACAGCTATTATTTTAGGCCTGAATTCTCCTGGCCAAGAATTTTCATCCTGGTTTCTTGCTCTCTGAAGAGCTACAGGTTTACCATCTTTTGCCACATGGAGGCCATCAACTGCTTCCCGGTGCTTGTGAACATCATCAGCAATGCTCTGCTGAGAGCTTTCAATTCCACTGCACACATCCGGATCTGGAGCCACCCTTTTCATTCTGTAAGTGTCACAGACTGAGAGACAGTTCAAGTTCTTTTTTACTGCAAGAAATGCTATGAAATGAACTGTAGCATCTAGCCACTGGACTGTAGATGTTTTCTACAAATGTTTTGTTCTTCTGTTTTCAGACAGATAATTCACAATACTGGGATTCCTTTGTCTCTTTCTACCTTATCTACATGCTGCTGCTGTTCCCAGGTTTCCCTCCTCACTTTGCAATGGGCTCTCTGCAGGACTACAAGGTAAATTCATTGAGATGCAGCAAATCCTATATAAGCAGAAGAGTCACAACTGTATTGCCATGGGGCCGTCTGAGTATGGCATCTTGAGGCTTTCCTCTGTATGGCCAGCTTTGCAGCCAGCGTATACTGCTAAAAGACAAAAAACATTGGATTTTAGTACCAGTATTACAAATACTGCAATACTGGAATAGATTTTTATGAGCTTTATTAGCTTTTCACTCCCCAGAACTGTTCCTATGGCCAACACATTCCTTCCAGACAGGAGCTCGTGCCCAGCTGCGGGTCTCGGGGCTCTTCCCCTCGGCATACTGGTGTGGGCAGGCACTGGTGGATGTCCCATTCTGCTGGCTCCTTCTCTTCTCCATGTTTGGGTTACAGTTTGCAATTAGCAACGGAGTGTCTGGGACCTTCAGCAGCTTCTTCTTGCTGGTGAGTCCTGTTCTAGTGACCACTGGTTTGCTAAGGGGGGATTTGGGTAATACTTCCAGCAAGAGGAGGGCTAGCTGAGACAGCAGCAATGTTTAGAGAGGCAGCATTTTGGAGAATATCCCCACAGAATCATGCAGGAGCACAGCAGGACTTCAGCAGTTCACTGTAGCAGACAGGAAGAAAATATGTGGGTACAGCCAATGCTGGCATATCTCCTGGTCCCCAGATCCTTACTGCCTTTCTCCTCATTTCACCTCTTATAATGTGAGTTTTCCCAGCTGGAAAAGAAAGGCAATAAATCCTGCCTTAATATACTGCTGTACACTAAGCAGTCAAATTGTGGTAATTTCTGAATGTCCTGATCTTAATGAATGCCTACATAAACTGAACCACAGTGTTGTATATAGGTTTCTGGTTGTTAATGTGACTCCATTTTCTCTAATAAAAGCACTTTTCTCTGCAGATCATGAATGTTTTTGGCTATGGAGTTTCTATCATTTTCTTAATCTATTTTATCTCCTCCTTCTTTCGGAAAGGATGGAACTGTGATTTTTGGTCTTTTATCCTAATAGTGGTAAGCATATGGCTCAATAATGCAATATGGGGTTTACAGAAATGTATTTTGAGTTCTTAAAGACAACCTAAAGGTCAAAACACCAATTATAGATCCAGGACAAGGATAAGGGCATGTGTTTTATAACAAAAAAAATCAATAGAAATCACTGTCACCTTGTTCTGCTCTCTGGCAGTCCCCCTGTTTTCCCCCAGCTTTTTACTCCCACAGTTCTGGAAATAAGGATGCTTTTCACAGTTTGGGTCAATCCTTACAAGCACTGCCTTTCTTTCTCTCTTCCCCCAAAGTCTTGCTCAAGTTTCAAAACACAAAACAATGGGGAATTTGTGCTCCATTCCCTTACTCTGTGTAGATCAGATGGGACAGTGTAAAGTGGGATGGGAACAGAACGGGATCCCTTACTGCTTCTTTCTGACCAAAGCAGCACAGTGCCTGGGAAGGAGATTCCCCAGATGACCCAAACCAGCAGCGGAGATAGATGATGACCTCCTGTACCCTCATCCTTTCTTGTCTTTATGTTTCTTGTCCATCTTGAATAGCTGAATAACCCTCCTGTTTCATTTGTAGGTATGCCTTGTTACTTTCATTATCAGCAGAATCATGGATTACGCACTAGAACTCGAAATCTCACTCTACCTCCTGTCTCTGCTGATCCCCATGTATCCGCCCTTGGGCCTCATGCTCAACATTGAGGAGGTAAATGGCTGCACTGGCATCTATTGGGTAATCATTTCAGACCAGGTGGAATTTCTCCATCTGTCCATTACTGCTATGGGCTGCTTCTCGTTCACGTGGACTGTGACTTGTGGGTTAGGTAAGCAATCTTAGTTCTTCCCATGCAAAGTCAAGCACCTTGGCTTGAACAATCACATAAGATTGCACAAATGACTTTGCATGAAAACTGAGTGAGAGTCATGGATGCTCCCAAAGCGTTTTACTGCACATCAGCTGGGAGTGGCCATGGAAAGAGAGCAGGGAATGTAGAAAAACCCATCCAGCTACATGCAAAGCCATTTATGTGCCAGAAGGGAATTAGGAGAAAAGTTCAACCAAAAAAGGACCCCTCCTCTGCATCGTCCCCCTCTCTCCATCCTCCTCCCTATTGGGCCAGCAAAGAAGGGAGATGTTTTCTTCTGACAAACCACCATCCCTCCAAAAAAGAGCCTGATGCATCTACTGAGTGGGACAGCATTTTTTGGAGTAGGACTGGAATACCCAAAGTGAAGAGGGTATGGTGAATGTGTTGGATAAATTAGAAGCTTTTGTGCATACTCCATGTATTTGTTATTTGCATTTAAACCTTTTAACACTATCCACCATTATATAAAAGAATTGCAGGTCTTCATCATGTATTTTTTTACTCCTACAGATGTTTATAGAAGACTCCGACTTAACTGAAGGCTTCCTAAACAACAACGTACTCATAGCTGTCTTTGCAGTAAGAAAACATTTAAGAATAATTTTATTTAGGAATGTGTGTCTTCCAAGCTGTATCCTCAGTAAGCCAGTTCATCTTACATAGAAGGAGGATCCTGGGGATGTGGATGACAGATGACCCATCTGTGAAAAAATAGTTTTCTTCCTTTGAAATGGGGAAGGAAATCAGTCTAGGTGGCTTGATGCTTCTGTCATTGGTGTTTTCTGCAGTACTGGTGAATGATAGCAGAGTTCACAGTTTTCAGGATTACTCTGTGTTTAAATGGCAACTAATTTGATTTCACATGCTGTGTTTTCCCCCTCACGTAATTTATGACTCTGCCACCATCTTTTCAGCTTCAGCCACGGCAGAATGGAAGGCAAGTCTGTCAGTGTGGCAACCTCTTTTTTTTCAGCCTTACATCCATTCTGTGGTTTTCATTTTCCTCCTTCGTTATTTGGAGATAAAATACGGAAGGCCAGTTCTGAGAAAGGACCCAGTATTCAGGTTTGTATAAACACACCACAGGCACTTCCAGCATACTGCTTTTCTTGGAAGACAACATCTTGCCCAAAGGCTAAGATTAACCTGTTGGATTTGTAGAATTTTCCCAAGAAAAGAGAACAGCCATCAGCATCCCGAGGAGCCCGAAGAGGAAGATGAGGATGTTAAAGCTGAAAGAGAAGCGGTGAAAAATGCCATAGCAGCTCCAGGCCAGGAGGAGGTAAAGCTGAGTGTGGTTCTCCTTCTTTTGCTTTATATCAGTGATAAGACTGTTGGTTTAGAAAAAGTCACCAATACTAATAAGGGCAAGTGAATGCTCTGGCTGCACTATTCATTCCTCAATGGAAAAACCCAGCTCTCAAGTGGACAGAGTGGGTCCAACTAGGATAAAGAAACCTTTTAAGTGGAAAACAGACAATGTTTTGTGGCATCTCAAATTCTCAGATCTTTTAAAGTTTTTTCCTTTTAAAATGCAAAAATATTACAGAAGGATGAATGCTATTCAGTATAATGACTGATCTTTCTTCCTCCTCCTTGCTTTCAGAAATCAGTTATTATTGTCAGTAATCTCTACAAGGAATATAAGATTGAGAAAGCTGGTTCTGTTTTTAGGAAGAAGAAGAAAATGGCCACCAGAAATATTTCCTTCTGTGTTAAAAAAGGTGAGAACTGGAACTGTTTTACTCTGACCATACCCAGAGAGCTAATCCTCTGCAGGTCTGTTATCTGAGCTGTGACACCGAGGTGGAATCCATTTGCTCCATGCTTAAGGCACATCCAGTGTGTGGCTGGTGAGATACTGAACACCACAGACATCCAATCAGTTACCTTTGATTCTCCACTACCAAAAATGCTTTACCTCCTCTACAGCAGTCACTTCAGCAGTGGCTTCTGGAAGCGATGCTCAGACTTACGTCACTGTATCAGCTACAGATTTGAAAAGTAATTTATGGCTGATCACATATTCATGCATCTGTATAATTGTATGTGATCTTTGATATTAGCATACTCTCTTTTAAGCTTTTTTTTTGTTATGAGACTGCCTGATATCTCAGCTGAACGGCAGGCCTTACCAAGAAATGCTGTGTACTGATTTCAGGAGAAGTGTTAGGACTCCTGGGGCCCAACGGAGCTGGTAAGAGCACAGTCATCAAGATGATAGCTGGAGAGACAACCCCGACGGCTGGGCAGGTAGGAGGCTGCTGGAGTCTGGAGGGAAGGGATGGATGCGTGCTAAAAATGCAGAGCTTGTGGCCAGCTAAGCAGTGTTTTTCTTCAAAGCAATATTAGGGATCAGAGTTTTAACCAGATACATTGTTCTATTGAATTATGCATTGATAAAAACGATGGTGAGCTGCTGCTAACTCTAACAACCATGTGCATCTATGCTAACTCACCATGATTATATTCAGGAGCCACGTATCTGAGGGTTGCAAAACCAATCCCTCACCCCTCAGGTTTCCTCCCCTAAAGCCCTGTGAAGCCCATAGTTTCCCTCCAAACCTTCCACCTGTGGCTGTGCACATGTGAAACACAGCGTGATCACGCAGGTGCTGCTGAGGAGCCGAGATGCCACGCTGTGCTGGACACAGGACCACGTGCTTGCCTACCTGGGGCACTGCCCACAGGAGGACCCACTATGGCCAGACCTCACCGTGCACGAGCACCTGAAGGTCTACGCTGCTGTAAAGGGCGTGCACAAGGAGGACATTGCCACTGCCATCAACAGGTGTGGGGTGAGGGTGGTCCTGGGGTCAGTCAAGGGTTTATTCCACATTGTAAGGTGTAGTGAGGAAATCTGAATGTCAGAACCCTCTGTGAGCAAGAAGATGCCTTGGAATAAACTCAGGAAGCAAATATGTAAAAGGGATTTTGTATTAAATGCTGTGATTGAGTGAGTGGGTTAAGGAAAGCTCCAGCTTACCTAAGTGCATTTGGTGGGGATGGATTTACCACTGCCATCCCTTAAAGTACATTACCTATAGGAAGCATTTCTAAAATCTCTGATTTTATTGTTTGGCATTACAAGGAGGGTGCTTACTTAGTGCCTACTCAGCAGGCACAGGAGGTGGAGTGGATCTATAATGCTGTTGACACAAGTGACAGCTTTTTGAACAGAGTTTGAGGTCTGTTCACTGCACTTCAGTTAAGTAGTGATGTGTTGGCATGGGCTGCCCAGGGTGTGGGGGGAATCAGCATTCCTGA